CCCGGTTTCCTAGTGCCCCGCCCAGCGCTCGCCCCGGGGAACACGGTGAGCGCCCCTCACCCAGGTACACCGGCAGCACCTGTATATAACGCGGCAGGGCAGTTTCTCCGTGCACTGGGTCGTGTCGTGGGTGTGGAGGGGGGGTTGCAGCGGGGGAAGGGGCTCCGCTTTCACTCTGGGCTTTTCTCATCATAGATTGTATGTGTCCCGCCCTCGTCTGGAGCCTGCGGACTCGTGTCACTCACTGAGCTCCCAGTCACTCGCTCGGATTTAAGGGGGAACCTTGATTGGTGACACCGCTTTGGTTCCCGAGGGTGGGGCTGTTAGTGCCCTGGGGGACTCCTCCAGAACCGGAAGAGGACAGGAGCTGGCAGCCGTGGGGTCTGGGTATCACTGTTGCTGATAGGAATGGGGAAGTTCTAAGTGAATAAAAGACTCGCAGTGTCAACCTTTGGAACTCCTTGCCAGGGGATGTTGTGAAGGTCAACACCGTACCAGTGTTTAAAAAAAAACAAGATAAGTTCACCAAAGACAGGTCCATCAATGGCTATTAGCCAGCATAGGCAGGGATGCAACCCCATGCTCTGGATGTCCCTAGCCTGTTTGCCAGAAGCCGGGAATGTGTGACGGGGGATGGATTTCTTGATAATTAACTGTTCTGTTCATTCCCTCTGAGGCACCAAGCACTGGCCACTGTTGGAAGACAGGATACTGGGCTAGATGGACCATTGGTCTGACCCATATGGTCATTCTTGTGTTCTTAGGAGAGGCCTGATGTTTTGTGGGGACCAGTCCCCCCCACTCTATGCCCTACCCCACTGGTTAAGGGGAAATATAAATATTGGCCCTGCCCTTTATCTCCCCCCCCGGACCATACACAAATCTCACATTCAATAAGAATTCGCACTAGTGGAGTCCAATTCCAGCCCTGAAATCTACATGTATTGACTTGTGATCCTCGATCCTGCCAGGTTGCACCCCCCCCCACGTGCAGACGCAAAGAGATCAGCGAGGGTGGATGTACTAACTATGTTTCTGGAGTGTTAATTCAGCAAAGCATGTGCTGGCCAGAGGTGAAGAATCTGTGGCTAAAATTCTCTGCTCTGCCTCTGAGCGGCGCACCCCACGGGGAGGGGGGCAAAGATGGCTTTAAGTCACCCTGGTGTTTTTCCAGTTCTGAACTGTCACATGCACAAGGTAGAGGAGCGGCTACTCTAATTTCCCACAGCCTGCCCCCACGGGCTGCCCATGTCCTACTCTGCATCCCCCAGAAGCAGAGAATTTCTATGGCCCTAAGTGACAGAGAGAGACATGCCCCCCCCCCAGCCTGGCATACCCCAGGCCAGTGTTTTCAGTGGTGGGAGGCAGCATAGGGCCACTTGTTGCAGCCTGATGCAGGTCTTATGCTGGGGCAATTCTGCCCTGGTGACTGCAGGGCTTTCCTGGCCCCTCTAGCCCACTGGAGCAGCCTGCAGGGGCCTCGGCAGAGAGGAGAATCCCTCCCCTGTGTCTCTTGAAGCCTAAACCTTGTTTTTAGGAACAAGAACTTTTAGTACCACTGAGAAAATGGCATTTTGTCCTGGGGAATCTGATTTACTGAGTGTCAAGTATCAGGGGGTAGCCGTGTTAGTCTGTATCTACAAAAACAACAAGGAGTCTGGTGGCACCTTAGTCTTTAAGGTGCCACCAGACTCCTTGTGATTTACTGAGTGTTTTTATCCTCAGCTAATTCTTCCCCAACCCCAACAAAAAGGTCATCATCAGCGACAGTGCAACCAGCTTCTTCTTCCCCTTCAATATCTACTTCCCTCTGGACAACTGCTGAGAAAGGGAAATCCAGCTTCTCCACTAACCAGGACAACACTGCCTCTGAGTGAGTACCACTGCTACAGCCAGAGTCACTTATGGGTGCGTCTACACTGCAGCTGGGTGTGAGTGCCCACCCTGGGTACACAGACTTGTGATCGTGGGGCTTGCGATAATGTGCTAAAAATAGCTGTGCAGACATTGGGGCCTGGGCTCTCAAGCTCACACCTGACCCCTAGGCGTGATGACAGCCCAAACCACAAAGTCTAAGCACGTGCCCTGCCTGCTGGGAAAGCCATGTGGTCATACTGCTGTAACCATCCCCCTTCCTCATTCATTTCCCTCCTCACAGCTCGTGTCTCCCTCTTCCTGCACCACGTCTGAGAGTCTGCCCCTGTCAGCATGTAGGCACATGGGCCATTTGAGTCACATGACTAGTCCCATGGACATCTACATCCTGGTCTATACAATCTATTCCTGACAAGGAGAGTCAGCAAAGGGTGCGGCCGAATCAGCACTGAACAAGCTCCAGCTGTAGACAAACTGCAAGATCTAGAGCCAAACTATTTCAAACTAAGAATTTTAAAAATCAAATGATCTTTTCCCCCATATATTTTGTTCGCTTTTTGAGCTCTGTGCATCTTCCAGAATGAAAGCCGACTGGTCAGTTTCACTTTTGCTTCTAATTAGTTCCACTCCAGCCCTTGCACTGAATAGCATAATCCTGCCAGGTTTGAGTTGCCAGATGCCAGCGCTACAAGTGACATCCTTACTTATTTACATTGGAATTTAAAATAATGCATGGAAAGATCTCTGCTGGTCTTAGGTTTTTGTAAACATTTTTACAACTTAATTTGGGGCCAAATTTGAGCTGACGCTGTCCCTTTAAACAAAATAATGTTTCTATCAGCTAATATTAAAAGTGGATTAAAACTACAGAATCCCTGGCACCAGGAAAAAACCTAAAGGAAACCAAAATATCTAAGCCCTTTATCCTGCAAACCCTTCCACATACTTGCTTAACTTTAAGCATGTTTATAACGTTAAGTGTTTGCTTAAAATGTCTGTAGGATT